ATCACAATTCTGTTAATTGAACATATATTAGTATTTAAGTCAAATGTACGTTTCAGATTTAATTTAAATCTATTTTTATATGTTTAATTAACAAAATAATATTTGGTTGAAAGGTTTGGTCAAGTTAACAAATTTTTTTGCAGTGTATTCATGAAATCGTTTAAAAGAAAATGAAGAGAACGGTGCATTAATTTGACAAGACATTTATATATTGTGAACGAAGCTTAACGGAGCTACCGAGGATACAGATCGCTCTTATTAGCTACATAGTTAACACTTCCCGCTGTTGTTTAGCAAAGTTTCTTCCCCTTCGCGCGATTCTCTACGTCGTCGCGGTTAATAGAGTCATTTTTCGACGCGGCCGACCCCACAACGGGCGAAGATACGTCTTCTGGAACTAAAGTATTATGAGGATTAGCCAATTACAATTGAATTATCAAGACCCTACGGTCCCTCCATGTAATTTATCTGAGAGAATAAGTCGGCGGGTGTGAGATTAAGTGGCTAACATAACTGATAACAAAATGCGGGATCATGTGGAAGGTACACGGAGAGAATTTTCTCTTGGAATGTATCCTGAAAATCATGGTAATCATGACAATATGGTATTCTTTGCTTAATATTTACCACAATTTTACTATGTACATAGTCAAATTTATCAAACATATTTTATATATCTTATACTGTGGTAGGTATTAATATTTTTTTATTGTGGTAAATATTTTCTCTTAGAATTTATCCTGAAAATCATGGGATAATATGGTAGTCTCTGTTTTAATATTTGCCACAATAAAAAATATTAATATGTACATAATAAAATTAATTGAACATATTTTATATCTTATTGTGGTAAATATTAATATTTTTTATTGTGGAATAAATAATCAAAGAAACTGTTATAAAATTTTTTTAATATATTTTTGCATATTAGCAAAGATAACCATGTGTTACAAAAATTTTCAATGTTTGAATTTTATGAAAATTTGAAATATTTTCGATTTAGTTTCCTTTTTCAATTTAAAAATCAAAGAATCAATTTTGCGAGCAACGTGATCTTGAAGAAGCAGTCAAAGCAAGGAAAAAGTAAAAGAAATTCGTGAATCTAATATATAAATATTAATATATCTATCACAATCAAATGTAAAATATGTTCGATTAATTAATCATAGAAACTCATAAAATTCTTCCATCCCATATTGTCCCGCGAATTACCATGATTTTTAGGGTAAATTTTAAGAGAAAATTCTTTCTATGTAGCTTCAGGAATAGGGAGAACTACTTGAAAAAGCGAACTAGAAAATGAATAGCGCTTATTAATTTATTTATTCGTCTTTCCGAAAATTATATTTACGTTGCATAATCGATATTATTTTCGGACAAGCGATATCTATTTATTAAAATATTCATGATATTTTGACACACAAATATAGATGGATATTAATACTGTCTCTCGCGAGAAAAACCATATTCTCTCCTATTTTGATCTTTATATATATTACATTATACATATATTAATATTATCCCGAGGAAGATATAAATTTGTCGCGCATGTAATTATCTAAAACAAATATAATTCGGGTATACCTTTCTCGCGGCGCGAAAACAAACTTAAGCCGATTACGTTCGCACGGCGTTTATCCTGAATAATTCATCCGTATCAGATGCGCAGAATTGTTTTGTCTATCGGGAGACACGGTTTTGTTCTCCGGGAAATTGCATTCCCAGAAAACCAATTCTCTTAATTCACTTTATATCCGAGAGTTTCGGTGAGAGTGCAGACGAATGCAAAATTAGATGTCGCCCGGACACACCATCAATATATATCGTGCATAAACCGCGGAGCATGTGTGTGCACAAAATCAATTAGCAATAAAGCCCAGCCGTGTCTGAGCCAAAGCGGTTAGCCGAGATGGAGCGAGAGAGCTTATCCGCGGGATTCGATCGATAAACGCCGGCCCTAAGCAGGGTCCGTCGCGTTCGATAAGATACGAATAGCACATCGGCATCGCAATACTAAAGGCCGTATCACACTAGCGATTGCTGTTAGCGGTGTAAACAGCAACACTGGACAGCAACCGCGAGCGTCGACCAATCAGAGCGCAGCAAAACGGCAACAGCGCACGGGAGCAATCGCGAGCTGCTGCGCTCTGATTGGTTGATGCTTGCGGTTGCTGCCCGCTGTTGCCGTTTTGCTGCGCTCTGATTGGTCGACGCACGACAGCAACAGCAACAGCGACTGCGACGGTTAAACAGCAATTGCTAGTGTGATACGGCCTTAAGAGGGAAAGAGAGAGGATCAATAGCGAATAAAAAAATAAATCTTGTCACGCGCGGCGCGGCGTGCGGTTCAATTACGTATCCGTCCGTATATGAGATTAATTAGCGATCGGTTAGCTCTCCTCTCTCGTGCGCGGTTGCACTCTTCGGATTTGAACGCGGAGTCGCGCTCTCGGACCCGTCGGCTATCGGATATCGTAAATTGGGACAATTACGTTATTTCCGTCCGATAACCTACATCACGGAGTAGAGTTTGACGGATGAATAAATAATATCCACCAGAAAATCTGACGTCTGACACGAAAACGGAGAGACTGTTCAAATTATCACTTGCATGGCGGAGTACCTACTGTCTAGAGTAAAGAACATTATATTCGCGCTCGCGCCGGCTTTTGGATCTCTCTCTCTCTCTCTCTCTCGTAAAGGCTCCATCAAATTCAGTTTCGTTCGGTAGCGCAGACGCGACACCGACCCCGTCGCCGTCACCGTCGCCGCCATCGTCGCGGGGTATCATCGATTTATAATAGCGCTATTATAACGCCGCGCTCCCCTTACGACGTTAATATTAACCTATTGTCGCTAATACCATTACATTAGCGTCTTTTTCAACAAAACCGCGGCGCATCCCGCGACACCGATTCGCGTTTATCCTCTCTTCTGGGGGTTGTCAAAACTGTATTATCGATTTTATTCACGCGTTCGAGATTTATTATTGTTGCGTACATCTCAATATATATTGCTCTTTTCGTTTGACGTCTTAAATTGATATGGAGAGAAACTGCGCAGAGAGAAATAATAATATTAGTCGGAGAAACTTATAAAATTCTTCCAATATTGTCCTACGATATTAATCGTGTTATTAACATCTATCATAATAAGATATATTTGATTAATTTTACTACGTAGTAAAATATTAATATTTTTTATTGTGGGGAATATTATATTAATCAGAGGAACCCTTATTAAAATTATTCCAATACCATATTGTCCAACAATTACTATAGATTCCAAGAGAATTTTCTCTTACCATGATTTTCAGGGTAAATTCTAAAAGAAAATTCTCTTGGAATTTACCATAAAAATCATACTAATCATGATATTAACATCTACCATAATAAGGTATAAAATATATGTTCGATTAAATTTTAATATGTGCATTTAAAAATAATAATATTTTTTTACTGTAGGAATATAAAATATATTAATCAGAGAACTCTTATAAAATTGTTCTATATACTATCACACGGGAAAAAAATTTGTTAGCTTGACCAAACCTTTCAACTAAATATTATTTTGTTAATTAAATCTATAAAAAATATTTAAATTTAATATGTTACAATATATGATTGATTTAACAAAATAGTAATTTAGTTGAAAGGTTTAGTCAAGTTGACAAATTTTTTTCGGTACACGATTAGGATATAAAATTCTAAGAAAAAAATTTTAACTGCGTATAAACGTACGGATGATTACACAAATGATTACACAGACGTGCGAAATAATAGCTCGATTGTACGAAATAGTCGGAATAATTTCGTATGGGAAAAGGATTCGTTCGCGGGGATGAAAAAAATGCGCTTCAAAGTCTCCGTTGCAGCTGCAGCGGGGGTTGCATCTGTTGCATTCGCGGTTGGGCATAAGCGACACATAGCTCTTTTTACGGCACTCGACTATCCTGCATCGCCTCTCATCTCGTATATCTAAATAATCAATTTACTACTAGCCATAATCGTAACCACGAGTTAGCGAGTTTATATGCGAGCCCGCTCACCGTAACTACGTGGCTCCGTAAAGCATAAATATTATGAGGCATTTCGTATACAGCAACAGTCTCATAATCTCTCTCTCTCGCCTTCGTCTTTTTTTCATTTTCTTCCTGTCGACTTTTTTTCTCTCTCATTACCTCTTCTTCTCTGTCTGAAGAGACGAAGTCTAATCAAATTTTCATTAATGGAAAATTTTCTTCGAATTTTATAAAAAGAATCGTTATATTCTATTCAATAGTGAAGTTTCTTTACATCCTATATCTCGTTGTACTTGTAATGTATTCAATTATGATGAAAGGTCGCTACGAATACAATTTATGTTAAAATTTGATATACATATATATATTCTGCTAAGTATCGGTATAAAAAAATTATATTTAATTTTATAATTAAATATTATTTTTGTTGAAAGTATAGAGCGTGTTATTTAATGTTAATATTTTTAAAACGGAGGAGACTAATTAACTCATATGATTAATTAAAACAGAGATATATATAAATTTCGAAAATTCATTATCATTTATTAAATTCAAAATATTGCCATATATAATAAGGTTGGATACGCAACAAAATTGTCATACAATTATATATTTAATTGGACAGATGGCACGTGATGTATAATTACATTGTCTCGTCTGAGAACGTTTCAAATAATCGAATTGGCGATGCGTCTCTCGTTTTCGTAAAGATAGAATTAATTCGCTTAAATTTTTCACATCAAATAAGTTTATAATTAATTATAAATTTATAATTCATTATAAATTTATAAGTTTATAATTAATTATGAATTATAAGTTTATATATAATTAATAAAACAACTAACGTAAATTGTACTGCGCATATTATCATTAATATCAGTCATTTATCAACACTTGGAGCAAAGTCGAATCCATTTCTAATTACGTGCACAGAAGAAAATGAAAAAAAAAAAGAAAAAAAACGTAATTTTGTACTCACATTATGCCTCGGTGACCAAGAATTGCACATAATGGATGCATCTTCCAATATACGACTCTGCAAAATAAAAAAAATGCCATTTCTCATCGGAATCAAGATTTTCGTACAATGTGTACAGGATACATTAAATCAATTTTTTTTTAATTTTAGATAACAAATACATTTCTCTCTTTTCACATAGAAATGGCAGCGTACGCGAGACAAACATTGAAATTAAAATGAAAGACAAAAAATGCGAGGGCGAACCCCTTTTAATCGTCAATTCCCCAAATACAAAAATAAAACTTAAACAAATGTTATCTGTTAAATTTAATTATGCATATAGAATCGTTTTACAGAGGATTTTGCGCTCATTTTGATCGCGCAGTAATATTTAATATTAATAATTAATATTTATCAAAAAATTATTACGTAGAAATTGCATACATTTTTTAAAATTCAGTCTTGTTTAATCCTTAAGGTGAAATTCTAAAGTGTTTGCCTTATTTCGCAACAAATTAAGCATTATTCGATAACACCTAAATTATTGCCATATCTGCGAGAAATATCGTATTCGGTAAATATTTGCGAAAACAGATTTAATGTCGGATTATATCGCGTTCTCGAAAGTATATGTATTCTCTTAGCAGGTCTGTGTACGACAAGAGATGTCACGCGGCGATTTCAGTTTCACGCTAACAGATCTCAATACACAGCTAATGAACAGAGTCGGGAAATATTTTCATCCGAATGGAAATCGAACATACGCCATTTACCTGTCAACGGTGCTTAATATTTATCTGATCTGCATAGTTTATTTTTGTGCCAATCACATGACACGCACGCGACAATTGCATACGATTCTCGCACATTATATATATATATATATATATATATATACTACCGCTTAAAAGTATTTGCTCGCCCTTAATTTAAAAGAAAACTCGAAAACTAAACATCGATTTTATTGTTTATGCGCTAACGGAAAGTCGTTCTCAATAGCTATATTAAAAATATTACTTCATGTTTTTTACTGATAGCTACAAAATCAAATAAGGTATTTATGACTATTTTCTTAGAATTAGTACTTTTTAAGTTTTTACTACAGAGACGCGTGTTTCATGGAATTTTTTTGTTTATTTCATATTTTGGAATATAGATTTGCGTCAATTATCTGCTGCTTTTTGAACAGACGCAAATTTTGCAAAAATAGTTTTCTGTTTTTTTTTCTTCCACGTGATATTAAAATGGTAAAAAAAGGAATTATTGAAGAGAAGAGGCATAATTGTCGGACTTTATAAGGCCGGAAAGAGTAAGACAAATTTTATAGTCATTTATATTATAGTCATTACATTATATTATAGCCGTTATATTTTATAGTCATTTATAGTTCTTAATTTATAGTCGCCTAGAATCATTAATTTATAGTCACACACATCTATAGTCATTAATTTATAGTCCTTAATTTATAGTCGCCTATAATCATTAATTTATAGTCACACGCATCTATAGTCATTGATTTATAGTCATTTAAACACAATTCGCCTAGGTGGGCAAATACTTTTGAACGGTAGTGTATATATACACACTTGTGTGCGCGATTATACATATAATACATACAGATATATATATATATCTGTATGTATATATATATACGTATATATAAGTGTATATATATATATATATATACATTATATATTTATATTATATTTAAAGCGAAGCCGAAAGAGAGAGATTGACAGAATCGGGGCATACCGGCGTCGCGACGCCGTCGCAAATTAAATGAGTCATTTTGGGATTCGCGCGCAGAACTAGGTAATTCAATATCGTCCTTATTAAAGCGTCGGCCAATTCTGCGCGCTCGGGCAATTTCTTGATGACAATGATTATGTCATAACTAGCCACCGAGACTAATATGAACACATCACTCTTTCGAAGCGACGTATTTTATTAACGTGTCACACGTCTCCCGATATATTTGTATACTTGTATATGTATGTATATGTGGGGCGATACTTTGATTCGACGTGTACGCACGATATATTATCAAGCTTCGATTGCAGATATGCAGGTCGCTTAACGTGCATTTGATAGGATTTTTCAGTCATTTGTCATCCTTCGTCTCGATGCCGCTTCGTCAAATATATATATTCAGAAATATTCGGGAAAAATTTATCTTATTTTACTAGAGGGAACTATTGTCTCGTAAATAAAGAAATAATAATAAATAATATACTGAAAAAATATGTATTTTTACATGTAAGTTACTTGTTCAAAATTGGAAAATTATTTTCTTATCACTGTAAGTTATTTTTCCATTTCTTTTAAAGTGAAAATACATATTAATGTAAAAATATAGGTAAAATTACTATTTTTATGCAAAAATCATGTGTAATTTTAAATTTACTATTTTTACTTTATTAGAACTTAATTTTATAAGTATTTATCCATTTTATTTATAACATTATTTTATAGCATTTACATATAATCTGTAATCTTTTATATAAATAGCAATGTTGCATGATTATAATGGATTGGCAAAAAACCTAGCATAATTATGTAATTTCACATAAATATTTTTTTCAGTGTAATAATAATAATCTTATGTTTTCAAATAAATCTTGAGTGAAATTATTTAACGGAGTATCTTGAGACTCGAGACTCTTATTAAAATAATCGAAATTTCAATTATATATGAAAAGTGTGAAAAGATTTCGGTGAATCATCAATGATTCATCGAAATCAGTGAAATATCAATGTCGCATTTTTGCACGATTGTCAAATGCTCATTAAGAATATCCGTTTGACACTTTGGACAAGATATTTCACGATTCGATGTTGTTTGACATTTTGGATGAGATATCTCGAAGATCTGATGAGGATAATCTTCTTGACTATGATTACCGTTATCATCATCAACGATGTAATTTAATTTTAATATTTCTTGATAACTAATAACCATGAATAAAAATATAGTAGTTACAAGAAAAGAAAAATGAATATAAAAATATTTTCTCTTCTAAGTATTATTAATATTTGTCTTGTAACCTTTTTTGAAATTTAATGCCTCGCATAAATGTTACAAAAATATTTAAATTATAAAAGTATCGTTCGAGACGTTATACATTACTGCGATATATTTTAATCAGAATTAAAAAATATTTAAGTAGTTTATCGAGTATTTAAGAGACTGCAGGAAGGAGTTTAAAGCTAATATTACAAAAATTCTATCGGAGAAATCTTTTGCTACTGAAAACTATTTATTATAATTCATCGTATTTGAAGCATCTACATTGAAAAGTAAAAATTTCTTAACTTGACAAAATCTTTCAACTAAATATTATTTTGTTAATTGAACATACAAAAATATTTAAATTAAATATATAACATACTAATACATGTTCAACTAACAAAATAGTAATTTAGTCAAGTTAACAAATTTTTTTTAAGTATAGACGTCCTGACATTCGATAGAATCTGTATCTCCACCATATATTCTTGCCGAATCTTCTCAACCGCGTAAAGGGATTAATCTAAAATATTATTAATAGATTTATTAATGAATCTCTCGTGCTGGGACTGATTAGGACATACACGTATACATTGCATTAGGCATCTCTTAAATTCTACACTCGTATATATATATGTACGCAGATTAAAATATATATTCGTGAATACACATACAATATGTGCATATTTACATCAATACACGAATGCGTTTCTCGGTGCATCGGATATACAAAAGCCGCCATATATAGACCCTCTTTGCATGCGTACTCGTCCTTCGTATGTGTGCGCATATACATATATATATATATATATATACATACACAAATATATATATATATATATATATATATATATATATATATTGTGCGCGCGTGTTGGACGGAAGCGCTTGTGTTACGAGGCGTAACACATTGCGGACTCGCACGAGTAAACAGACGCAGTCGAATCAGTTTGCCCGGCTAATTGATTTTCCTTCACATGACCGACGATGTGCCGTGTGCGCGCGCGCAGCGCGGCCCGAATATACGCGCGTGTGTGTATGGAGAGACAGTGCAACGCGCCGTACAAATCCAATCCGAAACTCTCGTTTGATTATCAAGCGAATTCCCGCGGCCGATTGTAAATCAACTACTGCTGTGCCATGTGTGCGCCGGTGGATCATACTGATGCGTTGGATTGGACGGTATCGCGCGGCGAATATATCGGAAATTTAACCCTTTTCGCGTGACGCCAGGATGGATGGGAAAAAAAAATTTGATTGAACATTGTCTATCTCGCAACGCGAAACGGCATTTTTAGCGAGAAAATCTTTAATTGACTGCGTACTGGGTGTAGTGTGTTTAAATTGGTACGAAAAATTTTAGGGGATGATTTTTTTGTCGAAAATTAAGAAGAGGATTTTTATATAAACATACACGATTTTAATTAATTTAATTTAAAGAACAATTCAACTTTCTAATGCAGATGATCGCATTGTTAAAAGTTTTTAATAAAAAATTGAATAAAGATTGTTAATTTCATTCTTTTATAACGATACGAGCAGATTTGAAAAATATTAAGTATCTTTTTACTAATAGAAAATATTCATCAAATTTCATTCTTTGACTTGTCCAACTTGTTTAAAAAAATTAAAAATTTAATTTTAATCTCTCTCTTTAGAGAAGTGTCACTCTTCGGGGATATATCAGTATATATTTGTATGAAAAATCTTCAGTTTTCGAAACAAAGAATCATTAAAAAATTTTTGCATTTATTTAGAAATACCCTATATTTATACTATACACGGAGAGAATTTTCTTTTAGAATTTATCTCGGAAATCATGGTAATCGTGGAACAATATTGGAACAGTATTGAAAGAATTTTATAAGAGTTTCTCTGATAAATTTTTACCACAAGATAAGATATAAAATATATTTGATTAATTTTACTATATTTATTATGTATATATTAATATTTTTTATTTGCGTATCTTTCTCTCTTTTTATTAAGTATACATATATCAGAATGAGTCCAATGAGAAAATTTCTTTTTCGGAAACAAAATTTCCTCATTTGACAATCGCTTACGT